TTATTTGTATATTTACCAATTTTATATTGTTCATACCAGTCATTGTCGAAAAACGATAAATCTTATACAGATCGATGAGAAAATCAAATTTAATGAGATATATGTAAAAGGCATATACTTCATTGCTACGAATACAAGACATTTAATTGAATTTTTTTTTCACATTACTTCATTATTAAGAAGTTTTGTACTTTTTATTATGCAACTAAAATTATTATAATAAACACTCTTATAATAAAAGAATATTCAATAATATATAAAGTGTAGCAGAATTAACAGTGTGCTTTGTCCGAGACTTTTTGGGTCATGTCCAATGTTCAAAAAATTCCACAGCATATTCAAGCTTCAATATTAATTTGAAACATAAGGGAGATGAGGATATTGTGGCCAGATTAAAGTTTCTAATAAAATTTTTTAATAAAAATATAGATTTTTATACAATTATTATTATCTGAATTATGCTTAATAAAGAATAAAATACTGTAAAAAAATCTTTATATCATATATATTTTTAGATATAAATAATTAGTACACAAATAAAATATAAAAACCAAATTTTAGAGGGGAGGGGTATTGTTAAAGTTGTAATAACTATATATTAGGGTGCTTAATATCTTATGATACATAATAAATATTTTCGATAGCCAAAAATTACACTCTTAGAGTAAAATAGTTATATATGTCGTACCCCAGATTGGAATCCGCCCGATTCCGAATCCGGCCGTCCCAATTCAGAATCGGGGTAGCCGGATTTAGAATTCTTATACGGGGTACCCGGTTCAATAATTAGTAAGGTTAGGATTAGGGTTAGAATATTAGTATAGTGAGCCGGGTACCCCGTATAAGAATTCTAAATCCGGTCGTCCTGATTCTGAATCGGGGCAGCCGGATTCCGAATCGGGCGGATTCCAAATCCGGGTACAACATATATACAGTTAACTCTCCCAAAACCAAGCTTGGATAAACCAAGTCTTGATTTATTAAAGTTTGATTTAGACACCTTTTAAACATAACTTTTTTGTTCTGAGTTGACTATACAATCAGACTTTCCTAAATGCATATGCATAGTCTGTGAAGAGCCTCTCTAAATGTATGCCCTAACTCATATAACACTTATAGGTTTTACCTCCCTAAATGCATGCCCTAACTCATATGACACTTATAGATTTTACCTCCCTAAATGCAATACCTCTCTAAATGCAAGATTTTTGACCGCCCATCGGCTATGCATTTAGAGAGGTCTGGCTGTATATAGATCCAATTAAAGGGTATATGTTTTCATTTTTTTAAAAAAATTAATCCATCATATTTTCGCCAAATAACGGATTATAAAACCGGCCTATAAAAATAGTATGTCCAGTCTTAAAATGACGTTTGTGCGCGTCCCAAATAATGCACATTTCATATAGACCCGCCATAACTATAAGGTGAAACTTACTGAATGCATCGAGTACATAAAATTGTAAGCTTTCTCCCGGCAATGACCCATATACAACGCGTGTATTACGTTATTTTGAAAATCATGTTCAGAGAAAAATTGGCTTTTGATCTCAAAATAACGCAAACTCGCATATCAGAGACAACGCGAAAATATTCATACTAACATGCAGGTTGGTGTTATTTCGCGAAAATACAGCATTAAAATTACTACAATTTTTATTATTGTATAGTCCAAACTAGTGTTATGCGAAATATTTCTCCTGAGCTAAACAATTCTTCAGGACAAAACAATTAGCATACAGTAGTGCTATTTACTAGATACAGTATTGTCGCCAAATAGTGCGTTATTTTGAGACACAATTTAAAGAGAGCTAAGAGTTGATTTAGCCATGTGCGAAAAATAATTTTGTGTATCTCGAAATAATACCGCAGACGTTATTTCACGACAATACGGTATCCACCAGAGTGAAATAGCCTACAGCGCTAGCTTGGATTATATTTGTAGTTCATATGACACTAAAAACACCCAAGTCACGTATAAAAAGCGCTCAAAATGAATAACATGTTACTTACCTCTCTCAAATTGATTATACTGTTCAGCTCCTCTTGAAACTCTAATATTTCCTTGTTGATATCATCATCTGTGATTTTTGGAACTTTTTTATCATAATTAAAGTTCTGAAATAATTTAAGATAATTTCAGTATATATGCAGATTCTTTATGATACAATAATCAATATAAACATCTCACATCGTTGAAATTTAGCATGCTAACAATGTAATTCATGAAAGGAGTAATAATTGTCTTCAACTCCTCATCATGATCGATTATAACTTGTAATACCATTTTGGTACTATAATAAAAACCATCTGTAAGTTTATAAGTACGGTATAATAACCATGAATTACTCACCAAGTATTCGGTTTTCTTAGACAAAATTCAAGAACATTGTCCAGATCCAAGTCGGAAAAAGCCACAAAATCACCCGTATAGTGAAGTTTTAGAATATGACTTATCCACGCCACTATGAATTAAATATAATTACTGAAAGAATTATCATTTAAACTATAAAATTCTTAGTCATACCAAGAGTTAAGTGATAACCAGAACTTGAGTGAATTAGCTTAGGCTGCTGTATCAAATCTGAAGCAGGTGGCTATAGATAGATTGATAAAATTGAAGAATTTGTTGAAATTTTGAACAGAATTTATTGATTTTACCTACAAAGTTTGTCAATTGAATAAGATTGGCGTCACGATTAACGTTCGCTAAAATTTCATCAAAGTCTAATGTTAAATTCTTGACACGTTATATGCAACACAAAATGAGTGAAATTAGTAATAATCAAATACCTTCATCCATCACCAATTTTTCTAGCATACCCTGTACTAATTCACTGCCAAAATTAGTCCATTCACTATCAAATTTGCATAATATGGCAAACCATAAATCTAACAAATCCTTTGATAATGTTTGATCAGCCACCGAGGCACTCTTTCTAAAATAAAAGTATAATTGTTCAGAATTTCATACCAGAATATGAAGATTAGCATTTACATACTTTGTCTCTGTAGGCACCAAGAATCCTTCTTCTAATAAGACAGGTATAAGTAAATCTCTCACGTATTCTGCGCTAACTAAATTTAATAATCGTTTTACAATCTTGTCTGTAGAATTTGTATCATCCAGTTCCTGT